TCTAAACCTAAGTCAGCCATTTAGGCTGAGCATATCCTAGCCACTGAAGATGTCTCACTATCCCTTTCTCCTTTCCTGCTGTCTCTCAGTACTAAATCTCAGGTTAAACTTGTGGCTCTAGCAGTTTTCCAAGAGGGAAAATGCAGTGCTAGAGGAGAGGGCCATCATTACTGTTCAATTGCCCCAGGACTCTGTTAGCAAATCTCCATAGCTAGCAATATTCTTGTCCTTGGGCTGGCTGTTTGTTGCTCATTAGCCACTGGCAAAACCAGAATTGCATAGTCTAGACTCGTATTGACCAATGTGTTGGAATCAGAATATAAAATATCCACTTCTCAGATCTAAGATTCATACTCTGCAGGGATCCATAAAGATTTATTCAGATTTGCTTAACTTAGTTTAGTTTAATTTTGCTAAGCTTTGGACTATTCTCTATTAGGCAAGTATAAAATTCTTATTTTAAGCACACATTTTAACGTAATTTCATTAAGCTAAATAGTCTTAAGGCCACAGTCCTCTCTACTTCTATAAAAAATTTCACAGTAGACCAGATATTAGCATTATCAATTACTTTTCTTATAAGGAAGGCTAGACTATGACTTACTAGTATCTGAAGTATATGAAGAACCAACACTTTCAGCAGATATTTCTCCATTTTGCATGGATTAACAGTTGAATCTCTGCACCCTTAGTATTTTTTGTTTGTTTATGCTTATTGATATTTATATTTTTATTATGTTATTAATTTTTAATTTCATAGTGATTAAATAATTATTACTCTTGTCTTTATTAAGTATTTCTCAAGCACACTATTTCCTTCGTTCAGGTTCCTAAGGCAATCCTCCATTATGAAAACTTTCTATGTATCTTCAGAAACAGCTACTCAGCCTCCCTGGGAATTGCAAACATGACCATGACATTGTAAGGGTACAGTAAGAAGAATTTCTCCAAAGGCATATCTTAAGGGATGTTAAAAGAGAACAACTATATTTAAGTTCTACCAACTACTGTCTCTGGAGCAGTTTGAGGCAGATAAAACTGAAAAGAAGGACCCCTTATGGCCTGAAACCTACTGCTTGTGCTTGATTTCCCTTGTACATCCCACAGTGCTGGTCGTGCCTTTTAATCACATAGGCATACTGCTGCAGAAAATTGCTTTCCTTGGGTTACTCACAGTTAGCCACAGCAGAAACAACCAAAAAAGAATATGTGACCTAGACACCGAGTCCCAAGAAATGCCAAAAAAGAAAAAAAAGATGGGGGGGGGGGGGAAGAAAAATCGTATAGACTGACCGGAATATACATTTTTGCACTCTAATATCAGTTTCAGTGTGGACATTGCATGGAAATCATGTCAATACATCAGATCTGATGTTGTTACCAAAGAACATGTGTAAGAGAGAAAAATGCACCGTTGCATGTATATATACCAGTATGCCCACTTCATATGCATAGGTACAGCATTCAGTAAGGCAGCACTTTTGGTGCCTTTGTCACTTGAAACCCTAGTTAGGCTAGACTTACAAAGAACATTACCTCTCTTTCAGGAAAAAAAAAACTGCTTGTCCTTTAGGAAGCCTTCAATAACTGTTCTTTCTTTTGCATTACAAAAATCCATCCATTGCATGGATTTCATGCATGTCTATGTTTAGCTCTGGTCTGAAACTAGCATCACACCTTAATTTGTTACTCAGCCTCAGCAAAACCACAATACCACAAAGGTTTCATACACTCCTTCTAGCTGCTCTCCATGACATTTACAGTGCACATCAGAATGAAAGAGAGCTTACCTTCTATGTACTGCAAATGAATTATTAGAGCAATGCTCTTAGCTGCTCGTCTATCTCCTTCCCCAGCTGAGATGACTTCACGGGTATGTGTCTTCTGATCCACTCAAGCATCCAGTCAAATAGATTAAATCATAGCTAACTTGGCTTTGAATTCGAAATGGGAAGAGGAAAGGGACCGACAGCTGGATGCTGGCTTCAGCTGGGAAACCACAGCACAACCTCTGCTGGCTGCCTTCTAGCTGAAGCTCACATCTGCTAGTGCAAATGGGTTTTTTCCATTCTGCTTCATTAGTCAAGTCTACGCAGGTGGTTCTGATCTCAGCCAGGAAGAGCAAAAACTAACATCAACCCTTCCACACTTAGATCAGCAACTGCTGTAACTGCATTGCCAAGACTGTCTTCCAGCTGCTGCTTTTCTGCCCTGCTGTCTTCCACTGGTGGGAAAGCCAACCAGTGGAGTAACAGAGAAAAGTGTCTACCTGGGTAGCCATCAGTCTCTGGGCAGTTGCCACATGTTAAGTTAATTTTTCAGTGTTACACTGGAACAGAGCAGATGAGGAACACAGTGGTCTTGACTGAGAAGCAGTGGACCTATGATTGGCATGTCCATAAACTCACTCGGCCTAAGACGAAGACAGGAGTCTAAGTCATATATTCTACGGAGTTAAGCAAAAATATTTTTCCACTTTGAGACACACTTCACTTTCTTTTTCTTTTCATTTTTTTGTTTTGTTTGGTTTTGTGGTGTTTTTATTTTATTTTGGCCAATGTCAGTCCTAGTGCTGGCCTCTTCATAATCCCATCTCTTTTCTTTTCTTTTCTGTCGTTACAATATATTTCATTTGCACTCTTTTCATTCACAATTTTTTTCATTTCGCTAGGGTTCTGTTGTCCACAGCTATTCCTCTCTTTCTTCTTAGTTCAGACAAACCTGGCAAACTTGCAACTACACAAAAATAACCCACATCAGAGCTAATATATTATTTATTGCTACTTTTTTAGGATCATAGTATTTTGTGCTGAAATTTCTGAAATAATTCAAGCCCACTTGAGTATTCAAGAGAGAGACTCAGATCCCTTGTCCCACCTTTCTCTGAAGAAAAAAAAACTGTGTACAAGCAATAGCCAATGTTTATTGACACTCCAGTTATGCATATATTACCAGTTCTGATGTTCCTTAGTTTTTCTTCCTAATTTGTTTTGAAAGAAGAATGTAGGACTCTAT